CTACTACTATTAACGGTAAACAGGTTTCACCATAGAAATAGTCCGTGAAGTCAACACATGAGGATAAGATTCATCAATCTAGCACAAGCAAGACAAGCGAAGACATTGGATTAAATCGCTTTAAGTGGTAGAGTGAATAATAAATGAAAGACCAGGATGAGGCCTATGGTAAAGGTTAACCTGAAGAGAAGAAAGGTACGAAAAAAAAACAAAATAGACAACAAGCCATAAACATTTTATAGTAACTTGACGACTGTGAGGTTGTGGATCTGGTTGGAGGGATGCACTAAATATCCATAATCTCAACAATTCTGGATTTAGGCCCCTGCTCGAAGAGGCTACCGTTTGGAGACTGTTTGGTTTTCAAGTAATAGCATGTGACATTTTTTTACTTCAACTATTAAAAATGGTGCTTATGCAATTCATTAGTAATGTGTTTTATCATTTTGATAGGCCTAAAAGGTTATCATGAATTTGGATTTGGCTTTCCTCTTGCGTCATGATTGATAGAATTTAATTATTTATTTTCAATTCTCGAAATCAACGGATAGAATCAAGTAAGCATTTATATTTTGTGTACAAATGGAATATTGACTAGGATGAATGCATTTTTTTATTAGATAGCAAATTTTATTCTATTTTCAGAATAGTAAATTACGATTTTCTAGAAGTTGTTTGACCTTGTTTTCGCAACTTGGTCATTTTGGTAGGAAGACTTATAGAAACGCACCTTGTCCTGAGTCCATTATATGCATTATTATTTCCAAAGTCGGACCGTGGACGTGGTACATTCCCAGACGTTTCCTTGGTATCGTATTCGGCATCGTCAGTGTATTTTACCATTCGTAGTACCACATTACCACTCGTCAAAGAGACAAGTGAAGCCGATCCTTTGACCAAACGTGTGCTAAACAGTTATGGTATCTCCCACTCTGCCCTGGCCTATTCACATTTCCTATATCCTCCAATCACGCATTCACTGCCACAATATTTTACTTGCTTAATTAAATGTGGTACGGTGTGCCCGTTTTTGGCGGCTTTCATGAGAACTCTCCGCACTCCACACTGGCCTTCTCACCGCCCTTCAGGACGGTGGATACTTCGACCACACAAAAGGCCACACCATCTTGGTCTTCATATCTACGATTTTTTATTTTCAAATAAAATATTTTTGAATTAGAATGATATTTTTTGCTTGTAAGTTCTGATATAATACCTTATACACAAATAGCCCGAGAAACGGGGCAATGTAGGTTTTAGGAGGGCATAGTAGGTAAAAAGTTGGCAAGAATTCAATTATTAGATCAACAAGATTAGTCATAAACTGTACATATTTTAAACGTTGTTTGACCCTGTTTTCGCAACTTGGTCATTTTGGCAGGAAGACCTATTCGAATCAAGTAAAACTATCACTTGTCTCTTTGACGAGTTCGTAGCTTGGTGCGGAGAATGGCAAAGCTCACTGATGCTGCCGACTACGATG